ACAAGAATTAAAATAAAAGCCTATTATTATTATAATTAGGCATTAAGAAATAAAATAAAGATAAAATAAAAATATAATGAATAGATTTATGATGGGATTAAATTATTCATCCGTCAATTCTAGAATCTAATGTTTATGATTAATTAAATGTGAATAAAAAAGATTGTTAGCAATGAAAAATTAATTCACCTTCGTTTAAGAGAAGAGAGTTAAAATCAAGATTATTTATAAATTTTTAAGCTCTTAGATTTAACAATTTCATCATTTAATATTCCACTTGCGTGATATGCATCTGGATGTGGTATGTGTTTGTTGCAAACCATTGCTACTGCTACTATTATTATTATTACTATCATTAAAAAATTCACAATGTTTGTTTTCAGCAAAGTTTGAAATTTCACCAATAGTTGGTCTTTTAATGGATCCATAATCCCAACATTTATGTATTGTTTGCGCATAATCATCAGGAATCTCAAGTAATATTGGTGGTCGTAAACCTTCACATATATCAAAAATTAAACAATGATTATGAGCTCTATTAACAAATGATGGATGGCTTGCAATATTTCCCACATTAACATCCAACACTGTAAATATCAGTTTCTTTTTTGTTCTTTGCATTATTTTTGCCTCAAAGTAGCTCATGTGCAACATATGATATTTCATAGACTTTATCTGATCATTTTCATCAACTGGTCCATATAACCCCAAATCTGTAATATAACAAATACCCCCACTTATTAATATGTTACCACTATGTAAATCACAATGAATTAAATATTTTTCATGTATATAATGTAATGCAACACATAACCATCTAAAAATTACAATTCTATTTTTTAATATCAAATTAGAATGATTTTCTTGTAAAATAATATATAACTCAAATTTCTTTCTAGAAGATAATTTAAAACTATTGCATAATTTCCATTATTTATATAATGACAAAGAATGATCCCTGATTTAATTTTATGGTAATTCCCATTGCCTGTAGTTAAATATCAAATCAACGAGTATTATTTAATACAGCATTATTTATTTTTGTACTAAATAAAAAACACCAACTTCATTAAAAAAGCCTTTTCCTGGGTTACTTGAATCATTAAACATTTTAATATTAAATGCTCTATTCCTAAATAACTAAATTCATCTTCCTCTTCATTAAATCAATTATCCCTCCTCTAGTCCATCCAGAAGTATAGAATGAGCTAAATCCACCTTTAGTCAATTTTGTTATATCTTCAAATTGCTCAAGAGGTATCCATTCTAAAATAAAAGATGGCAAAATGACTTCATTTGACATTGCTGAATAAAGTTATTAACTATGCCATTTCCAGATAACCAAGTATTAAAAAGACTCGTAAACTAATACAACCTTCACAGAATCTATCAGAGTATTTACCAATTTACACTTGTTACATTTTTTTGGATTGCCTTCTTTATAAATTGCATCATTTAATCTAATCTCGTAAATAAACAATGTGATTTCCATTTTCAGAAAGTTTTCTTGTTTTTGACTAGTGAAAAAAATAATAATCAAAACCAACCTCTGTATTATTAAACATTTCATTATAAATTTTATATAAAAATTCTCTTCTTTCTGATGATAATGATGAAAAAAATTTTATGACGTGTAACAACAAAATGATATTGGTTATTTTGTAAGAAAAAATTTGTGTGGGCAATTTAACAAACACTACAAAAACATAAATAAAAATACCGTACAGTCATAACTCTTTAAACCGAGTCTATGTTTTCACAAAAAAAAACATCGGTTTAAAAAAATCTTAATAAATTGATAAATTTTAATAGGTAGATAATAAAAACATTGGTTTACCGTGTATATTCGTTTTATCAAAGCATAATCTTAATTAGTACTGACTATATTATATTCGGGTATAGGTTTTTTCTTAAGCATTGTCTTGTTTTGTAGTGTAGATGTAGATAGTGAGATAAAAAAAAGATCAAATATCTATCCATCAATAATGAATGATAATATTGATTGTAAAAAAAAAAACCTTTAATAATCAATCTTTCACGCATACGTCGAGCCTTTCAATCAAGAAAAAAATAATTTTGTTTAGTACAAGTTGAGTTTTCTTGGTTCTGTATGTTCTGTACATTCTGTACGTTTGTTCAGCTCATTCGTTCTGAATATTATCATGATAATTTCCCGTACTACCATTTATTGACAAATATAGAAAAAAATAAATTCCAAGTAGGGGAAAAGCGGTATTACTGTCCTTCTAATAAATTCTCTCCCATATTGGTAGAGTCATTCAAAAAACAATATTACCTTTCACTTCAAAACTAAGATTTTCTCCAATATTACCTTTATAAACTTGATGAATGGTTGAAAAGATATGAAATATTATAAGCTTTCGTATGGGCATAGCTTTACGTGGATTGTTGTTTATTAAAAGTTTAGAGAAGATTGAAATAAGAAAAAATGTGGGCAGTTGTAATGATCAAAAAAATAATTAATTAATTTCCAAATATCAACTTTTTAACACACCACTTTTTCTAAAATTAAGATTTGTGGGTAATTTTATTAATAAATTTTCGACCAAAAAAAAATTTCAGAAAAAACCAAATCGTTCGATTAAAAGGAGGCATGCGGAAAAAATACATATTTTTCCTTGTAATAATGTCTATTCAAGTTGTTATTTTAATTTAGTAAAGAAATGATGTTCATGGTTTCCTAAATAAAGATGATGACTCATTGGGGTGTCTTACATTATATGATTTTACAAACATAGTCGATCACATATATAAATTTTCATATATGACAATTTTTTG